GCTAACTACTTACCTGTCGGGCTTGAAGATCTTGAGCTCTTTTATTCTCCACATCGACAGTTCGACCATCGGTTTCAATAAAGTTCACTGTATGCTCCACAGCGTGGTGGTGGTGCAGGGAAGGTGACTTACGAGTAGACTATTTTTAGGTAATATTAAGCCCCTGTTTTGCCTACTATACCCTCTTTCTGCTCGGCGTCAATATAGAGTCAAGAGGATCGAAAGCCGTTTCGTGATCGGCTGGGAGGTGCGGTCATAGCCGCCACCGCACCTGATTCAGATCCCACGAAGTGGGATTGCCACAGGCGGCTGGTGCTTGAACCTGCACCTACGCCTGCCATCAGCGCCAGCCCCCACCCCTCCTTGTGCGACATTTGTTATGAAAACGCAGACCCAATAACGCCTTCCGTGCTCTGATCTGACTCCAGTGTTGGTCCACTGCATGTACCACGCGGATCTTTAGGGGGCACTTCTTCTGCTATACAGTTAACCGGAGGTCAGAAAACTTTATAAGGTTAAGGAGTTCTGCTGCCTCTACAATTCTGACCCTACATGTTTCTACCTGACCTAGCGTCTTCAGAACCAACTGATATATAGCTTACTACCGCGCGAAGATGAGAGATGGGTCATTGCACTTCTTCGCTCAGACACTAACGGCAGTTTACCGAATCTTATTTTTAATAATTGGTTACGGAAAAACTGCATGGACGAAACTGGTGTTCTTAATCGAAGACGGCAACTTTGGTGGAAAAATAAATAAAAGAGCGTGCAGACTTATCCTCAATCAAAAAATATAAAAAAGACAGTATGACGTTGGTAGTAGTGAACAATTAAGGTTGAAATATTCCTAAGTGAAGTGAACAGCCAGACACGCTTTTAAGAAAGCACTACTTACAACCACAGTAGTAGTTGCATCTGAGCGGACATAAAAGTGTAAGCAGGCGAAACGACGCTCGGACTCAAAACACACCACAAAGTCAGTTACACAAAGAGAATCAGATTTGTAAATTAATAAACAAAAACTTTTCTGCGAGACTAGGTTCTCACTAACCTTTTCCACGCCAATTTCTACCGCTTGCTGTTCAATGTCCTTCCCCTTTACGAGAGCCAACTCCTTCTTCTCTGTGGCCAGCTTCTGACCCTCAGTGATGTCGGTAAGCAGTTCTTCACAGGCGGCAGTCTGCTGGGCAACAGCCACCCGTTGGATGTCCAGTTTTTTCTTCAGTTCGTCAGTCTGCACAGCAGCCTCCTCCAGTTTGGTTAGACCGCCCTGAAGGCGTTCGCAGAGGGCTTTGTTGTGAGTACTCTTCTCAGTATGTAGACTTCAAGAAGAAGTGGTAAACAACAGAGTCTTCATGAGCCTACCATTACGTTCACCGCGGGCAAGCAGGTACAACACAGAGTATAAATAAGGGGTTGCGTATTGCCGACAGTAGCAAACTTACAGTACGGTCCAGAATTCGTGTAACATGCCGACATATGCGAAAGGCTGATACTCTTTCGCTAATCGGCATTGAGTAAGGTTGCAATACTGATTATCGCGTAGTCTATTCTGAAGTCATTTCAGTCATAATAGGATGCTGCCTTTTAAATAAGCTTTTTTCTGGCAGCTAACAAAACGTATGCAATGTAAAAAAGGCTACTTAGGTAGTATGCATTTTAATCATTGATCTTGACTGCCTTTATAGATTCAAATATATTTTATGGAAAACATGCACGAGACAATTATTTCTTGTACTGGTTTGGTAGCAAATTGCACCTTCTTTAAGTTTAATAACTAAAGAAAGGGCATCTTTCAGTTTTAAGAAGTTTCTCATTATTAGCTTTTTACAATTGTGAAGTGTTCATTCATTATACATCACATTCGTCAATTTATTAATACTGTCTAGAATGTATCCAGCATGTTTCATATCTGTTGCAATATTTTATAAGAACTAAGCAACTTCTGCCTCAAACCGTAGGCGAAAACGTATTTTGCCCTAAACAGGATATACACAGCGCGCAGTTTTTAAACCTTGAATTCAACTGTAGCAGTCAGCAGGTTTAAAAGTAATTCGGCAATTTAGAAACTTTTTTAAAACCGAAAGATACCTTTTCTTCAAGTATAAAATTTAAAGAAGGCGTAATTTTTTACCAAATAAGTATAAAAATAATTTTTTGTTTATGTTTGGCATGAAATATGTTTAAATTTATAAAGGCAGTCAAAATCAATGATAAAAAGGCATACTACTTAAGTAGTCGGTTTTTACAATATATACGTTTTACTAGGAGTCGGAACGAAGCTCGTTAAAAAAGCCAGTTTTTACAATGGATACTTTTTGCTGGTGATCAGAACGAAGCTCGTTAACCAGTTTTTCACAGTAGATACTTTTTGCTGGTAGTCAGAACGAAGCTCGTTTATTTTTACAGTATACACATTTTGTTAGTGGCCAGAAAGAAGCTCGTTAAAAAGTCGACATCCTATCGTGACTTAACTGACTTCAGTATGGACTATATGGTCATCAGTAGTACAACCTTCCTCAATGCCGATTAGCGAGAGAGTATAATCTTTCGCGTATGTCGGCATGTTACATGAATTCTAGGCCGTACTGTACTAGTGTTATTTAAGTTTTGCCAAAGGTATGGTAATTCTTGAAATATATGCAAAGAGTATATTTGGGAAACGCCGTTAGTTGTAAACACGTCAAATTTCCTTAAAATGAGAGCTCGGTTACTGAGTCCTCAATTTCATGGCGCCAGAATTGAATGTGCCCCATGCTCCGAAATAGATAATTATTCAGTGGAAAGTCAGAGTTCTATTTTCGTACACTAAAAGCCGTCGAGCACAGCATTCTCTTCAGCTTGAGCTTAACTGCCTTTCAACCAGTCTATCTGAGAAAAAGGGTGACATCATCGGAATTCGAACCCCACAACACTAAAGGCGTGGTTTTGGGGGGCCAGTTGCACTAACAAGT